CATATATATTTCTAGAGCAAAAAAAAAAAAAAAGATGGGAAGGTGTTTTTTTTTTCCCTTTTTTTTTTTTTTTTTTTTTTTTTTTTAATTTTAAAGGGAAAGAAAGTGGGATAGAATGAGAAATTTATTTTATTCCATACACAGTATTTTTAGTTCCAATCAAAATTACAGTATAAAAAGTTTCCCTTGCTTTTTGAGTCTTTTTGATTATATTTTATTTAGCTGGGCTTAAGAAAAAAAGAGGTAAACTTTAAAATTCCCCAAATTATTGAAAGCTTATATGCCTCTTAAATATATGTACATATATGTGCACATGCATTTGTTTTTTCTTATGAACCATTCAAGACAACTTCAAAGGCTATATTTAGAGAGGGAGTATGGCTCAGAAGCAGAGTCCCTGCTTGCATATGTAAAGCTCTGGTGAGATCCTTAGCACTACAAAAAAAAAAAATCTCTAAAAAAAATCTCAAATTTTTCTTTTTTTGAAGGTCTCATCTGTAGCCCTGATAATTGTTATAATGTAATCCAGGCTGGTCTTGAATTTGTGGCATTCCTCCTGTTCAATCTCTTAAATCATAAGTATGCACCACACGCCTGGCTAGAGCCAGTCTTTTTTGTCTTTAAACCACCTTCTTATATACTCAGAAGCTCCATAGGTGGTGGCTTTAATGGAATTTTCCCCAAAGTAAATTTCTTGGACTGAAACTGTTCTAGTTCCCCTTCTGTCAGCTGATCCTTCGGTGTGAACAGTACATTATCTGTAGTGATGGTGGCATTTGAGACTGGAAAAGAGGTGGACATGCTGTTACCTCCAAACATATCATTTGATGGCTTGGGAAACGTAGTTTGAGAATGTGAGCCAGGACTACCAAAACCAGCTGCAGAACTGTGGCTTCCGAAGGCTGGGGCTACTGGAGGTCCGAAAGGGCTTGCTGCCAAGGAAGCCGGAAATCCTGAAAACCCAGGAGATCCAAAACTGGAAGCTTCAGGGCTCTTAAATGAAAACAAAGCAGCAGATGCAGCTTCGGGTTTTCCAAATCCGAAGGCTGGAGCGGTGGTAGAGATGTTAGAAGAGGGACCAGCTCCAAAGGCTGGGCGACTCCCAAACACAGAAGCACTTCCAGAAGGAGCGGCGGCAAACCCAGAGCTTGTTTTAAAACTAAAATTCTGAACGTTATCACTGCTGCTGTTATTCACTGGAAAAGCTACAAAAATAGATTACAGTCAGAAAAACAGCCACACTACTCCTTTTTCTTGTTTCAGACATGTTTGGACATTGCGAAGTTTATGGGAAAAGTGAAAACGAGACATTAGAACAAACTTACTAAACTCCATTTCCTTGTCCTTTCTGCTACTGTGATTTACTTTCACCCAGGAGTAATCTTAGGGCCCAGGGGTATAGACTTTCACTTTGGGCTTGCCATGCTAGCTCACTAGAGCTGCCACTTGACAGATATACAATGGCAAAGTTTTCAAAGGTGCTGCTAACACAGCTGGGTATTTGCATCAAATTCCCGAGACAAAGTCTTGCTGTGGTGGTCACACTGGCCTCAAACTTTTGATTCCTCACCTCAGCTCCAGAATGCTAGAATCACATGCATACCATCACTCCTGGTTTCCTACAAGGTTCTTGAGAAAATATTCCTAAAAATATAGCCTGGCTTAGTGGCTCATGTTTGAAGCTCAGTACTCAGGAGGTAGAGGCAGGAGGATCACAAGGCAGGGAGTTCCAGGCTAGGGCTACAGAATAAGATTCTGTCTCAAAAACAAAAGGACTTCTATAACCTGAGTCATCATGTCTTTCACAATATATACCTATTCTAGCTTGCCCTTCACAAACATTTGCTGAGCCATGATCTTCAAGACTCTAAAATGGAAGGTGGCAGAATTTGTAAGAATTATTTAAAATGGCGATTCAGGCTCTGTAAGTTGAAACCTACAGACTCCTACTTTTCTAAGTCAATGAAAGCAAGTTTGCCTCACTCTCTTACCTGGTGACCCAAATGTCCCTGCTTGCTTACTTCCAAATCCAAACGTAGGTGTTATGTGATTCACTCCATCCTTCACATAAGAGAGCTTTAAAAAAAATGCAGAGAATTAAGTGCTTGAAGAATAATTCTCAGTACCTTTTATATATACTTTTACATTTATTTATTTAATTTATTTAACCAAGTCAGAGTCTTACTTTGTAGCCCTAGCTGACCTGGAACTCCCTATGTAGACCAGGATGGCTTCAAACTCACAGAGATCTGCCTGCCTCTGCCTCCCAAGTGCTGGGATCAAAGGCGTGAGCCACCTGCTCAGCTATATATGCTTAATTTATTTGTATTTATTTATTTAGTCTTTTTGTTTTTGAGATAGGGTCTCCCTGTAGCCCCAGCTAATCTGGAACTTGCCATGGAGACCAGGCTGGCTTCCATCTTAGGGAGATCTGCTTGCCTCTGCCCCCCAAGTGCACCTTCATGCCTGGCAATGCTTAATTTTTAAAATGTACATTTGAACATGAAGTTAAATGTTTAGCCTATAAAATGCCCATAATGTGATCACAAAAAAATCAGAATGTAATACTGTATAAAATACACAATTAACTAAGATGAATAACTATAGAAAAATGCACAAGAAATTAACAATGATTATTTCTGGCTGAAGAACGATTTTAATTTTACAGCTGTTAAATTTGCAAAAACAAAATATACTACAATCAGGAAATGTTTTTTTAAAAAAAATATTTCATTTATTATTTTTATTTTATGTGTATGAGTGTATTGCTTGCATGTACGTGAGTGCACCCGTGTCGTGCAATGCTACGGAGGTCAGAAGGTGGCTTCGGATTCCCCTGGACCTGGAGTTAAGGATGGTTTGTAGCCGCCATGTGGGTGCTGGGAATCGAACCTGGGTCCTCTGCAAGAGCAGTCATTGCTGTTAACTGCTGAGCCATCTCTCCAGCCCCAGAAAAATATTTTTTAAAGAATATACTTCAGGGGGCTGGAGGGATGGCTCAGCAGTTAAGAGCACTGGTTACTCTTGCAGAGGACCCAGATTTGATTCCCAGCACCCACATGGCAGCTAACAACTCTCTGTAACTCCAGTTCTAGGGGATCTGATACCCTCTTATGACCTCCACAGGCACTACGGCACTACACAACTTCTACCTACATGCAGGCAGTACACTCATACACATCAAATAAAAGCATTTAAAAAATTTTTATGTTATATATATATACTTCAAGGAAGGATTGATATAATGAAGATATACTGTATACATGCATGAAAGTTTCAAAGGATACCAGTCTACTTAAACACTTAACTGAAGTGGAGTCACAATTAAATTATAAAAAGCTTACTAATATATATATATACTTCAAGGAAGGATTGATATAATGAAGATATACTGTATACATGCATGAAAGTTTCAAAGGATACCAGTCTACTTAAACACTTAACTGAAGTGGAGTCACAATTAAATTATAAAAAGCTTACTAAGCCAGGCATGGTGGTATACACCTTTAATCCCAGCAGGCAGAGGC